AAAAACATCATCAAGTTATCACATATCATAAAACCAATAAGTCATGTGTCTCAAAACAAGTCGTAATAATGTTAGAGTACAAATCCCAAGAACATCATAGTGTGGAAAATAGTGGTGTGATGCGTTGCAATCATGTCGGCTCCTTTCCCCTTGGAGATTAAGTACCTGAAACCAAAACTGTAAACCGTAAGCACGAAGTTTAGTGAGTTCCCCCATCATACCACATACCATATAATAACATACTGCCTAGCATATATGGGTGTTGGCCTCCCCTTCGGTCTCTTTCAACCTGTAACTGCCTAACATATCCGGGTGCTGGTCTGCCCCTTCGATATCTTTCAACCGGTAACTGCCTAGCATATCTGGGTGCTGGCCTACCCCTTCGGTCTCTTTCAACCGGTAACTGGGAAATATTTCACCCCTACTACTAATGCATAATATCCTAGCACATACATGAATCACATATGCCTACCATATCTAGGTGTTGGCCTATGTCACACCCCCAAACCAAGGATGGCGGAAACGTCCGGGGGTGGAGAACTTCATGTATAGTATCACAACAACGAGTATAATAGTGCTCAAAGTAAATTTAACCATCATAAATATAATTGAAAAAGTTACACCATAGTATGTGTTTACATGTTTCAAATCAATTACACTATGATGACAAAATGAAATGTTTGACGATTTAACGTCCCATCCTCAAAAGCTGTTGATTTCATGTTTCACTGATTTCCTGAGAATACAAGTAGTTTTGAAAGAGTGTCAACAATTAAGTTGGTGAGTTCATAAGAGTTTTATTTGAGAAAGAAGTCGTTTTCCTTGTAAAAGCGATAGAGTATGATTCCAGAAAATTCAATATTTTCTTTATTAAGTGTGAAATGAACGCTCCTATGTTATGCAATAATGTACCCTAGAAAGACCCGTAGATTCCTTCTATAATCACCCAGTGTATATAAGTTATATAAAATTTAAGTTAAATAAACCGTCGAATATAATGGGTCTGCCCTAGGTCCACAACCAAACAAGGAACAGGAAGTGAGACGGGCCCACCAATTCTAAGTCGATTGCGACTAAATTCATATATAACTCTAACATGTACACTTAACAATTACAGCTGAAGTCTAACAATTATAGATGAAACGTAGTTTTAATAGAATAAAAACCATTTTGTGTAAACCTGGTACTTTGTAATGTAAACTTCAAGAAAAATCCTTTTTTTTCTTATAAAAAGTCATGTAGTCTTAAATCCCAAGACCGAGAATATGTGTGTGTTTTGTACCTATATTTTGTTTATAATGGTAATGTGTTTCCAAGAAAATCCAATATTTTCCTTATAAAAGTCATGTAGTCTTAAATCCCAAGACCGAAAATATGTGTGTGTTTTGTACCTATATTTTGTTTATAATGGTAATGTGTTTCCAAGAAAATCCAATATTTTCCTTATAAAAGTCATGTAGTCTTAAATCCCAAGACCGAGAATATGTGTGTGTTTTGTACCTATAACGTGTTTGTAGTTTTAAATAGATAAAACCCCTTTTTAAAGTAGAATTTTCCCTGTAAACTTGAAAGATTGTTAACTCCCTATGTGGGTCGTTATAACCATACTATAACGAGAATTAACCTGCAACAACGTTTTTCAGACGTCAAGATCCTATGACTCTTGTCACCCGTAGACCTGCAGATCCGGTTGTAGCTAGAAGCGAGGTGTGTGGTGTCAATCCCAATATAGATCTATACACAATTATCACGCTCTCCCTACAAGAGACTCTGGTTATAACTTACAGGAATTTTAACCCGTACTCTAAGAGTACGATGGAAGAATTGTCTCACAACTTACGTTAACTAGTTTACATATAGTTTGAATATAAAACCTCTTCCGTGGTGGAAGTGAAATCACCCTTTATGTAATAAATTAGTGATATAAAATCCATAAACTATTACTATTATAGTTTATCATGTAGTATATGAAAAACTCATTTGTTTTGAGAGTAAAACATTTTTCATGTAGTATGCTTTTATCGTAAAATCCATAAACTATACTTATTGTAGTTTATTATATGTGTTCGAAATGAATGGAAAACCTTATCATGAATGACTAATTTCTGTTTATGATGATAAACTAACAAGAAATACATTCAACATTTAGAAACTTATTATTATGCACTTTGCTCAACATACTACAAAGTGTTGTTAATATGGTAAGCTATGTAACTAGTTTTTAACCTTTCTGCTCAAGATCTCCACTCGTTTCAGGTGATCCTCTTTGGTCGCCTTCCATATTTTTTCTTGTCCTCTTAAAGTTTCTTCAACATTTTCAGCTCGGATCCTCATGTCCATAGAGACACGATCAAAGACCTAGACCAAGAGTTACACCAGAAAGAGAAAAAGGCAAAGCATACGAAGAAAAAGTAACACTAACACCTACCACTTGAGAAAATGAGACCAGCCTCTGAAGTGCATCCTCAGTTCCATGGTTTTCCAAGTTCAAATTCATGGCTTCAGGAGTTTTCCTCTTTTGGGATCCCAAAGTTTTCATAGTTAAATCAATGTGGGCTTTTTTGGGACAAGGGAGGAGTTAGTTTTCTCTTTCTTCACAAATATATGGCCACTTGATACAACCGTATCAAGATCATAGAGGGAGAAATGAGCACTGGCACATGTGGCTTTGGATCCAGTGAAAACCAAAGAATGTTAATAATTTTTCAAAGACTAAAGATGAAGGTGCTCAATGATCCCTACCGGTGGCCATATGGATGATAGCGGTTAAGCTTTCTTGATGACTAGAGGGATCGAGCTTGAATTTCCTGACAGCCTTGGGCAGAGCAAGGAAGTCCCTGATTCTATCCTTGGTATCTTCAGCAGGGGGAACTAATTCGTTAAACTTGAAATCTGCAAAAGATTAAACAAAATAAGAAGTGTGAATATTGGGATCCTCAATATGAAAATAAGGAACCCTACCCTTTTTAACCAAGGATTGAGGTAAAAGATCTCCAACATAAATCGAGTCACATTTTACGAAAAAGTATCTTTCTTTCCAAGCACCATCGTTATGCTTGAATTTTAGAACAAGAGGTGATCCGTCGGCTTTAACTTTCAACAAAAAGAGAGAGTTTCCAAAAGTAGAAAGGTCGTAAACATAAGCTAATTCATTTAGACCAATGTTGAGACCCATGGAGCGATTCAGATTGTCGATCCAATAAAGGATCCTCCAAACCGCAGACATGGCTTGGATATATGAAATCTTGGTGATTTCAAAAAATTTAGAAATGATTTCGGAAAATGGATAAGCAAGACCTAAGGTAAAGGGATACTCAGGAAAACAAACCCACACAGAAGAAATAAAATCAGGTTGGATCCTAACGTCGAAAGGCTTGAAGACAGTACTAGCGGGAAAAGTTCCACTCGAATTTAAAACTTCAATATTATCGTCATCAAAAGTACAAATTTCCTCATAGGAAAGGAGCTTCTAATCTACGAAATCATCATCCGGTATAGCTATGATGTGTGCTCGAGAACGAGCTCCTTTCTTGGCCATTTTTAAGATAAAGAAAACTAAGAAGGAAGAATGACAAAATGAATAAAAATACTACCTTCAATGATGTTCGATGAACTTCCGGAAGAAAGATCAAGGGTAAGATGAAACTAAAGAGCTCCATATAGGAATCAATGTGAGGTAAAAAGGTGATTTGATCCTTCCCAACGGTCAGAAATCTACCTGTTGAGCTTCAAATTACCTATCCGTTGGAAATTCTTACTTCAGTTTTTACTTAGAAATAATACCTGTAAATATTTAAAACACTAATGGTTATGTTTCACAGGTATAATTTGGGGGCAATTGTTAGGGCTCGGATCCTTGACGTATATTCAGGATCCTCAAATACTTATGAAGCCACATGATCCTTAAACATATCCCAAGATCCTGATTATTACCACTAATATTTCTAACACTTGTAACGACTACATTTTCTTTATTTCTCTCACATGTGCCGAACGAGTCAATACATGACCGATTCTCAACGAAGAATCATCTTAACCATGCAAAAAACCCGGAATAGCAAGTCAAATAACGTTCATATGTTGATTCGGTAGGATCCCAAATTTTTCGGACTTCTTGTTATTAGCTATAGACTATAAATAACACATGTAACTAGCACACTAGACACACTTAGCTCATATACGACAATTGTACTTACATTCATATACTTATCTCTGTACTCAACAATTTATATCAATAAAATCACCAAAACATGTGATCATTGTCACTCTCCCAAGGTATTATGCCGAAGATTATATCAAATATCAATGACTTTCTTTGTAACTCACTTGTGTCACCTTGATTATCATTTCTTACTTGATTTACCACGAACATCACAACCTCTCATACAAATTGGTTAGATTCTACTTAGTTGATTTTTGACCAAAACATACATCAAACCACAAATACATGGCTCAGCTACGAGATGAAATTGCTGAGTGCAAAATATGGAATCAATAATTTTTAAAAAAATTTGTTATTATTGTTGTATGAATTATATTTTAGTGTTATAAAATTAAAGTTATTTAAATTTCAGTGTTGAAAAACTATTTCAAGTTTAAAAATTCAGTTTATTTATATTTAAGTTTATTTTAAGTTTTTAACTGCTTGCAGACGTTAAAAAAAACAAATATCGGCAATTTTTTGACTTTTTGAAAAAGTTAAAAATCAAAATTGTTTCATTTATTTCTATCATCTTCTTTTTAATAAATAAACTCAAGTGCAATAATTTTTTTTCCGATCTTTTCGTTTGTTTTTTGTTTTTTTTTCTCGCGTTAAATAAGACTGTGTAACAGCTAACAAGACGTGCCAACATATTTTAGTTTCATGTCTAAAATAATATAATATATTGTTTATATAGTTAATGCATTTCAATAAACAAATATTTAGTGTTGCTTTATTCTTATCTTATGATTATTTATTTAATATCCAAGGGGCACAATTCCATATACAATATTCAATCTTTCCATTTTCTTACGTTGATATATCCGCCTTTTTTTTTTCTCTGGTTTCAACTTTCAACTCATTTTCACGTTGATAAGTTCCGATTTCATGTAATCGTCTCCAAATTTCAAGCAAAGTTCCTAAAATCGCCATGAAATCTCTGCTCCACAACACAATCCCCTCAATCAACCGCTCGGCTGGAATCAAATCCTCATCAACTGAATCCAACAGTCGAGCGTATTTACAGTTCCCCCTAGCAAACGACGCAAAATTTCTCTTATCCCGACAACAAAAACGCCAATTAACCGTCAATTCCGTGGTTGATTCAGCTTCAGTTGATCAGTATTATGGACTTACTGAATCAGATGCACGAAATCCTACATTGTCAACTTCGTTTCGGAGTCAGAGGGATAGGAAACCTAACCAGACGGTGTTAGAAGCTCAGACCAGGGTTTGTACTGGGCCAACACAAACCAAACCACTTACAGAAGCACAAGCTTTCAAAGTTTTAGATACCATACTACGATCTGGTAAAATATTTTCCGCTTACTCTTTGAGTGTATTAGTTTCCATCATTAGATTATAAAGGTTGCTTAAATTCATGAATAGTATATCTTAATTCCTGCGTTGTACATTTCGATTAAGTTCAAATGAAGCGATTAGTCACTAGATGAGTAGATGCTAGCCCGTTTCTGGACACAGTTTCACTTTTGAGATTGATATTAGTTCTTCAGATTTCAAATGCATTCAACGACAGCATAATCAATAAGATGCAAGTATTAGGAAAAAAAATATGGTGAATTTGATTGTAACTCTCCTAGTCATGGAACAAATTCAAATTATGGGGTGTCCAAGTCCAATGAGTATTCCAATACTTCCATGTTTGAATTTTTTTGAAGTTAAACTTGCCTGTTTGTCCACTTTCATCCATTAATCTCAAACTGACATGGAGTTAGGAGTACGAATCTTAAGTTATTGAAATACTAGGTTTGACCTTAGAAAGTCAAGGTGCCTCTTTATATACAGAAATGAGTAACCTCCCAAGTGATTCATTATACTACTTGGTATTAATATCATCATTTCTGCAATTTTTACCTATTAGTATGCCTACCAATTTGTGTTGAGATTGAGAAATACATTTCATGTGTTTTAAGGTAACCTAGCATATAGTATAATATAGCCTTCTTATGTTTATGTCAGCAAAGGGAGACCTAAAAGATGAAGAACAGGTATCAAAAGCTCAACTAGGAGCATTCTTTGCAGCCATGACAATTCGTGCAAATACATTTCCAGAAGCAACTCAATGGAGTGAAGGAGAAAGGCGTGCAATGGATGCATATTGGCCTCATTTAGTTCGAACCCTTCCTTCAGACATAATCTTTCTAGCTGATCCAGAAGGTTCCATAATGAGACTCGGGAGTTCAATTGGGCCACAATATGTTGGCAATGGGAGTCATGAAATGAGACTTGTGGGTGCCCTAAGAGAAGTTTTAGCAGGAGGTCATCTTGGGTATGAAGAGGTTCAAGGTGTTTTAAAAGATGTTCTTCCTTTATTGGAACATGACACTGTAAGTGAGTCTCTATTATCAGCATTCTTGATAGGTCAAAGAATGAATAGGGAGACAGATCGTGAGCTTAAAGCATACTGCCTTGCATTTGATGATGAGCTTGGTACTGATTAATAAAGTGGGTAATTGAAAAGATTATATAAATTTAAATATTTTATGTTTGATGTTATTATTTGATTAAATCTTTAGGTCCTGTTCCAGTGGCTGATGTTAGATCATTGACTCATTATGGTGAACCTTATGATGGAAACACACGTTTCTTTAGGAGCACACTCTTTGTTGCTGCTGTAAGATCTTGTTACAATGAAGCATCTCTTCTCCATGGTGTTGATTGGATGCCACCCAAGGTATTTTCTTGACTTTGTAATGCCAAACACCCCCTAATTTTAATTTTCTGCTTTATTAATCATTAACATTATGCGGATATAAGAGAATAAAAATTTTCCATATAAAATATCAATCATATTATGGCTTATCATGTGTACAGGGTGGCATAACTGAGGAGCAAATGCTAAAATTCATGGGAGCAAATACTAGTATAACACCATTGCAAGCTAAAACGCTTCTTGAGGTCTTTATTATTGTTATTTTTACATTTTATTTTCAATTCCATTGTTTCTCTGTTTTTGTATTTATGTTACTTTTAAAATTTATGTCTTCAGGATGAAGCAGTTGGCTTTGCTTATGTGAGTCAACGTGAAGCTCGCCCCTCTTTGTAAGCAGACATGAAAAATATATATTTTAAATTCAATGAATGAAGAAAAAATCAGAATCCAGTGAATTCAATTCCAATGCAACAGTAAAAATCTTGAGTAAACTACATTTTTGGTCCCTGTACTTAGCTGTATTTTAATCTTTGGTCCATAAAGGAATCTTTTTTTTTTCACTTTCGGTCCCTATGTCATTGTTTCATATTGTATTTGGTCCCTTAGCCATCAAATTTAACAACCCAACTTTTTTTTTTTTTTTTGAAAATGATCATTTTGCCCTTATTTTACATTTTATTCAATGCCAATGCAATATATATATATATATATATATATATATATATATATATATATATATATATATATATATATAGCAAGATTGCATCATGTTATATGAATAAGAGTACAACACATCTTTGGTCCCTTTGCTAAGTTGTTATTTTTAGCTTTCTTCCAAAAAGGATTTTTTTTTTCATTTTTGGCACATCTAACTGTTACATTTGTGAAAATGACCATTTTGCCCTTTTCTCTTTCATCTCCTGACTTTCTATTTATACGTCTGTTTAGATATTCGCTGATTGAAATGAGGGAACATATAAAGAAACGTCCACCATTGGCAACAACCGAAAAGGTTCAGCAATTTGTGAGGGTAAGTTTTCATTTTCATTTTCATTTACTCCCCCAATGCTCTCGAATTCTGTAAAATCATGTGGATCCCTTATATTATATAACAGCTTTTTTTTTTTTTTTTAAATGATATGTTATTTATATTACAGGCTACAGGTAAAGAAGCAATGGTTGCAGGATTCTACCATGAAGGTTATGAAGAACCACTTTTAATGCTCATGAGACGAAGAGGTGTTCATGCTGGTTTGGTGGTGAAGGTATGTATGATTTAAAAAAGAAATGATTTTTTTTTTTTTAAAAAGTTATTAAGTTTAATTTAAAAGTGTAGGGGGAAGAAGGGGCGCTTTCAATGACAATGAAAATGCGATCGATTAATGCATCAAAAGGGCTTCCTGTCAACTACTGTTCTGGTTTTCGTTCACTCAACACCCCACCACATTATGATGTGGATGGTGCGTATAATCAACTACATAAAATTATTATTATTATGTCTTATTTAATGATATTTTAATTCTTACAGGAGTGTCGCGTGAGAGTTTTTCCTTAATAGTGGATGCAAATGAATATGGTTTCGAACCCTCGGAAACTCCACGAACAGATAGATCTGTAAGAATTTCAGTTCTTGATTTTAACTATTTGGTTGACATGACAAGAAATGGAATGAAAATGAACATATGTTTTGTATTTGAAAAATCTATAGCTACGCAAATTAAAACTTCCAAACATCACCTAAAACGATGTCTTTATGAGGTTTTTTGAAGAAAATGCATCCCCTATCATAGTTAACCTTTGCTAAAAACCGACCTCATTTCTAAAAAGTGCGAATCATTTTAATAGCAAATAGTAAACAAAAATATATGTAGTTGGATTAGTCCATACAACAATTTTGCAAATCATAACCATCCGTTGCAAAATTGGTGGTCCTTATTGCCACTTACTAATAAAAATAAAATATGACAACACAAAGAGTCCATTTTTCCATCTTATCTTTCAATAATAGCTTCTAATAAAATTGATAAAATATAAACCCTCTCAACTAAAAAACTATTTACATTTTATATATATTTCAAAAGAGTTAACAAATGTCCTAAAATTGAGAAACATATGCAGATACAACTTACATTCCAATAACTACATAAAGTTTTTAGTTCATAGGATGCAAAAAGATAAAAATAAAGCTTTATGTAGTGGTTGGAATGTAAGTTGTATCTGCATATGTTTCTCGATTTTAGGCCATTTGTTAACTTTTTTGAAATATATATAAACTCTTAATGGGTTTTTAGTTCATAGGGTGTATGTTTTATCTATTTTATTAGAATGTATTATTGAAAGATAAGATGGACAAATGGACTCTTCGCGTTGTCCTATTTTATTTTTATTAGTAAGTGGCAGCAAGGACCATCAATTTTGCAATGGATGGTTATGATTTGCAAAATTGTTGTATGGACTAATCCAACTACATATAGCTTTGTTTACTATTTTCTGTTAAAATGATTTGCACTTTTTAGAAATGAAGTCGGTTTTCAGCAAAGGTTAACTATGATAGGCGATGCATTTTCTTCAAAGAACCTCATAAAGACATCGTTTTAGGTGATGTTTGGAAGTTTTAATTTGCATGGCTATAGATTTTTTCAAATACAAAAGATATGTTCATTTTCATTTAATAAGTCTATGTTGTATAAAATATAAATATGGACTGGCCCTGCAAGTACGTCCATAGCATATCAAAATGACACAATTTTTATTTTTTTGAATTTTTTTAGGTTTCGAAGAACATAGAACTGGGGTTAGACGCGTTACGTGGAGAAAAGGGGCCCGCATATGATCGGATTGTATTAAATGCCGGAATGACAGATCACCTACTTGGATGCTCGGGTGCAGAAGACGTATCAACTGCCCTCGATAGAGCCAGGGATGCCATCGACAGTGGCAAGGCCCTCAATCGATTCTTGAGTTACATAAAGATTTCCCATAAACTCAAATGAAATTTTTATCTTTATCTTTTCTTTTCATCACACACACACACACAATGTGCCATCGACAGTGAAAAGGATTTTGTTTTTGTACTAAATGTTACAGCTTAGGGTGTGTTTATGTTGTGGACTGTTTTTGTGGGATTTGGAATCAATCATGTAAAATTTTGTTTGGTTTGTAAAATCTGAAAATATTTAGAATTTGTATATATTTAGAATCTGAAAATAAGTTGTGATTTTGTGGGATCTGGAATCTATCATGTGAAGTTTTGTTTGGTTTGTAAATATACCACACGCTTTGAAATGTATATAATGACAAAAAAGAAAATTTCTCTTATCTTTTTTATCAAATATTGACTCATTATTTTGATGAATAATTTCTTCAGACAAAGGAGAGTATGAAAACATTTTCGTGGAATCTCACTTATCAGATTCCTTTGCGGAAAATATATTTTTTCTGAAGAATTCGCCATGATATATTTGATCCATGCATAATATCATGGAAAAGGGATATAAATATTTGACTACCACTTAGGATTGGTAATAGGTCTAAAAAATATCTAAGAAAAAAAAAAACTTTAGATATTTGTACACTATCAAAAGAAAGAACCATGACATATATGTTTGTATGTTTGGGATAGATTCTATTTTAAGGGAACTAAAGAACCATAAGATATATGTTAGGGTAAATGTCATTTTAGCACAATAAACTATCGTGTTTTGTTTGATTTGGTCATTATTTTTTGACAAAACTGCACATGGTCCTGTGGTATGTCGAAAATTGTCACTTTGGTCCAAAAAGGTTTGGACTAGCACCAGTGGTCCAAAACTTTCATTTTGTTGCGTCTTCAGTCCAATATGTTCTGATTTTTTTTTCAAAATGACGGATCTGCCCCTGTTAATATATTTTATCTTTTTTCTTATTTGTTTTCCTGATTTTCAGATTTAAAAAATAAACAATAAAATAAAAATAAAAATAAATCTCTCTACCTCTCTCTAAAAAACAAGAAAATAAAAAATAAATCTCTCTCTCTCTCTCTCTCTCTCTCTCTCTCTCTCCAATATTTCTCCTTCCCTCTTCGTTTGTTCTTCATGGCTCTCAAGAACAGTTCATAAAGCCCAGAAACCGGTGTCATCGCCGGAAACCGGTGTCACCTACGGAAACCACCGTCATCCAAAATCATTGTCGACGCCACCACCGTCTTCGTCGTTGGCGCCACCGCCTTCAGCCCGACCTTCAGCCCCAATCGTCTCTGTCACCAGCAACCTCCAACAAATCTGAAAGTCGTCATCACCTACAACAAATCCTAATTAATTCCCACCACCGGAGATCCTTTTGTCACTTTCTTGGTTCGTCTTCTCCACCGGAAACCACATCCATAACCCCGATTTTTGACAAAAATCATCACCAACTTCTGAAACCCTAGCGCCGCCACCTTATCTCATATGGATTAGGGTTTTCAGTGAAGAAAAAGGACGTCGGCGATCTGAAACCCTAACTTTTCGGATCTTAAAACTCTAACTTGCGAAGACAGCGACATTTACAGATCTGGAACATCGTCGATCTGAGGGTTTCTAGACGAAGCCACCTCTGAGAATCTGAAATGCATCCTTACAAAGCCTGAATCGACAGATCTGGTGGCGACGATTCAGATCCTCCTCTGCCCAGATCCTCCTCCGTCCAGATCTGGAAGCCGGTTTGTGGGATACCACCGTCAGAAGCAAACATATTGCCTCTCGCCGCCTTTCATCTTCTCCTTCGACTTGATTGTTCCTCAGCAAAACCTAGCTCGAAGCAAACCGTCGTTTGCAGATCTGTTTCCATCGCCAGAGAAGAAACAAAGAGCATGCTGGTGAGGGTTGAGATCGGAGGTGTTCCAACGAGAGAGAGAGAGAGAGAGAGAGAGAGAGAGGAGATGGTGATCGGTGGTGGTGGTGTTGTTTACAGGAGGGAGGACTGGAAATATATTTCTTTTTTTTCTTTTTTGTTTAATTTAAATCAGAAATATAACAAAATAAAAAAATAGAAAATAAAATTAAAAAAGGGCAAATCTATCATTTAAAAAAAAATTCAAAGTAAATTGGACCAAACTCGCAACAAAATCAAACTTTTGGACCACTCGTGCTAGTCCAAATCTTTTTGGACCAAAGTGACAATTTTCGACAAACCACAAGGACCATTTGTGCAGTTTAGTCTTATTCTTTATTTTTTTTTGCACAACAGGTCATTAAAGTTATATTTTACCTGTTAAATAGGGGATTTGCCCCAATACTTACCGGTTTGTAGGTTACCATGCTTAATTAGCACTGGTGACATAGAGACAATAGGGCCACATCATTGCCACGTAAGCGTTTGGATTTAAAAATTAAAAATTAAAAATGTTATAACCATTTACTCTTACTGACATCTGATTCCTCCACCGTATGGAGACATCCCCTCTTTTTTCTTGTATGTAACAACTAATAAGATCCGGTGATAACTCGTCACTTTTATCTCCGACGACAACCATCGTCTGTAACCTCCAACAACCACCGTCGGTTACCACAAACCACAGCAAATGATACCAAAATCAAAATTGAAACTTCAAATACCTCATCAAAACAAAAACTAATCAAAATCAAATCCACCTCATCCTTTTCATGTCCAACAACCACCGCCTGTAACCTCCTCCGACAACCACCATCAGTTACCACCAAACGAAGGCAAATGAAAATTAAAACTAGATATGATAACAATTAAATTCAAACCTAATGAAATCAAAATCAAATGTGATGAAATCAAAACCAAACATGTTGGAAATAGAAAAACAATACAGTATAGGAATCGACTATGTCCTACTGATGTATGAACCAAAACTAAATCAAACGATCGATGAAAATCAAAATCCAATACCGAAACTATAACATATTTTTGGAAATCAAACGATTTCTAGTTATATGCCGATGGTGGTAGTGGATCCGATTCACAAGGTACTTGAAATGACTTTCGGACAGAGTGTCAAAAAATCAGAGGGAGGATCTGATTGTTCATATGCTATTTGTGGATGATTGTGGGCTTCAATGTTGTGTATCACCGAAAGCGGTCACCGACGGTAATGAAATAGTACGAGGGTGGGTTGGACAAGAATAGAGAAAGAGACAGTCACCAGAAAATAGCCAAGGCGGCGACATCATGTCCATGGAAGGTAACATCTTCTCAACGGAAAAAGCTAAGGAAGCGCCAACAATTTCACTTCTTCGGGAAAGCGAAGATCAACGGCGGTCCATTGATGGTGGTTGGCGGCAGGCTATGATGGTCGGCAATCGTCAAGTGATGGTGGGTGGCGACTATAGCTCTGTGATTTGTGATTTAGGGTTAACAGGTTAATATGGGTTGAGGATAAAGGGAGTAATGGGGGAATTGATTTCGATGAGTTTTTACATTTATCGGTATTTATTTTAATTTTTTATTAAAAATAAAAATAATAATAAAATAAGAAGCACGTCGCTTTTTCAAAATAAATATCTTAATTAATAAATGCCAAGTCACTAGGTGTATACCGACTGACCGTTTCAAATCAATGAAAATGATGTAATTGATACCGAAAATGTAACTTTAATGATCTATTGTGCAAAAAAAATAAAATAATAATGACCAAATCAGACAAAACACGATAGTTTATTGTGTTATAATGACATTTACCCTATATAACATTTGGGATAGATTCCATTTTAAAGGAGTTGAATAAGCACTATGTCATTGAAAAGTTCTATACCTTTGCCATTTCTCAACGCATTTCTTTAGAGAAAACTCCATTTTCCCTCTTTCAACGCATTTCTTGAGATAGAAAATATTTCTTAGAACATGGAATCTAAATCAAACCCATGTTTGAATTGAAAATGGGATACCAATAAAAGTTCTTCCCTCTTGAATCAGATAGATTCATATGTGAAAGAGGTTGATGAAATGTGTTTCTTTTATAAATAACTTATAAAACAAAAATGAACGACTAAACTCTCTTCTTGTTTAAAAAATCTTTTTAAAACAATTTAAATCAAGTTGTCCTGCCTAAAAATGTAAAACAAGGACATGCTATTGATATTTTTTTGTTGCCAAAAGACATAAATGTCCTTATCCTCATGTATGAATCCCACATGCTTACCTACGGTTAAAAAAATGTCTTTATTCTCGCCACAACAAACATATGAATTATGATTTTGTAGAACTAACAAAATAGCATACACGAATAATCTCGTTTGCTTGGTGACAAAAATCTAGATTTATTCACCACCTAAACAACAATGAATGATGCAAAATTTGGTTCCATTTTTGGAACCAAATCCCTCTATAAATTAAAAAAAAAAGAGAGAGAGAGAATAATAACAATTAACAACGAAGAAAAAAGAGTTTATATTTGCAAGGCAGCTGCTATGGAACTTGCAAGACTCAAGACTTCAAATGGAGGTTTGTTCTTCACTTCCTTCACTGTCAAAGGACACGAGTCCGTAATCCAAAAGTATGTCAATCCGCTATCCGGACGCCCTGACAAATTCATGAACCATCACCTAATCTACAAAGTTTTTAATGAGGGCATTTTTGTCTTTTTGCACAGGTGAGAGATCAAGAGTGAGTCACTCTCCTACCTTGCAACATCTTTTTTGTGGGACCAAAGGAGTAGGTGGCAATTATTATACTACTCATATCAGTCTCAATCCAATACATGTCAAACTCAGTGCAACACTGCAACCTGTTCTGTTCTGTTCAGTCATGTCATGTGGAACCAAAAGAAGAAAATGTGTACCTCCAGTATCATGTTTGAAACGTTCCCATGACCTTTTGGGAAAAACACCATGGGTCACGTATGCACTAACTTTTTTTGCTCCATGTTCTGCTAATACTTTCTACAAAAAGAAAAAAAAAATTACAAAGGCATTCAATCATTATTTATAGTAAGCCATGAATAGATTGAGAGAAATTGTGAGTGCTGACCTGGCATTCAATCAGAGTTCCACCTGACTGAACAAGATCATCAACTATGACTACATGGCGTCCTTTTGGATCTCCCTCTTTAATGCGTACAATTCTTTGGTCACCTTCTCTAACTTTTGCACAAATAATCTACCACATACAACAATACCAACCAACAATGAAAAAAGAAACAAAACAAATTCAAAATAAAAAAAAAAGTAATTATTTCCATACCACAGGGAAATGCTGCAACTGCTTGTGAAACCGTTTCCAAGCACCATCATCCGGAAAAGCAATCGATATCTTTTTTTTTTTTTTCACAAGAGAGAGAGAGAGAGATTGTAATTTCAGATAACATCAAGCTTCAATCAATATAACAAATTGTTTGCCAAGAAAAGAGCATTACATTTTCGGAATCAGGGAGCTGTTGAAGCCTACTTTTAAGCAAAGGAATCCCACTCTCAAAACATGGTAGCACATTATCATCAAAATAGAATCTTTCCTGCAAAAACCCATGAATAGGAAATAGATATGAATACTTATATCCAAGCTAGTTGACATAGGCAAGAAATAAAACCAAAGATAACAAGATCAAATTTTTGAAGAATGGAATTGGAACCAACCTGCAGGGCATGAATATCATAGATTACCACACTAGTGGGGCCTCCTCTTGATATTGGAATGTTTGACAAGAATCTAGCAAGAGTGAAAGCTGTTGCAATATCTCCTTCATCCTCCATTCGTTCAGAAGTGCCAGTAGGGAAGAAAGGAAGGACTAAAGTGAAGGAAGAAGTGAACAATTTTGGCAATGCATAGCTAACTGAAAGTTGCTCAAAGATAACTCCAGGAGAACTAAATGATGCAAGAAAAGCTACATGCTCTCCTCGGATTCCATGGGCATTAGGTATTGATAAGTTTGGAAATCCATCTTCAAATTTTCTGTCATTCAATGTTTATGCAATATGATTATCTAAGTCGCAATAACTAGTTTCTAGTGCTTTATCTAGGTCGAATAATCGGGTTTGATACTAGCAACAACAAAAAATGATCATCAAATGGTGTAACAGAATGTTCTATATACCTAATTTTACATGTTACTTCTTTAAGTAAACCCTAATCTGCATTGTAGTCAATCGGATAGAAGAAGTTAATGGCATACCTCCAACTAATACTACGAAGCTCAATTGCATCGGATTGGGCAGCAATCCTCTGTGCAAGCGCCTCCATTTCAGCGGCATAAAAGAGGCAAACCTTTTTAGAGTTTTTCAATCCGGAATTCATCGGCATTGGAGATGCTTTAGAGGAAGGAGGCTTGATAATAATGTGAATCGGATCACTTCCAGTGACGCAATCGACAGTCCACTGTTGTTGGGGTTGGAGGTGATGGGCCCCGTTATCGAAGCTGCCGTGTTCACACTGAATGTTAACCCTCCTGCGGGTGAGAGATCGGCGACGGTGTAAAGAGGAGTGAAATAATGCAGCCGTGGTGGTGGTGGTGATGGTTCTAATTAGGGGTTTGTTTGGGTGTGGCAGCGACGGAGGCGGTGGCGACGGAGAGGCTGCCATGTGGCGGAGGACTGGGCGGTGATACGACGGTTTTCCGAGTTTTCTGATTGTTTTTTTCTTATCTTGACGCGAATTTTCCGGTTATTGAAGCTCCTCAGCCTGGTAACGACGATATCTTTTAATATTATTATTATTATTATTTATTATTTTTTTTATAACTTTATCGTATATAAATTGTACATTATGCATCAAGATATGTAACTTTCTCTAAATTTGCCTCTTCGAACTCTTGATAAGTCCCTACTTTTATGAATTTTCACATCTAAAATGTAATTTAACTTTAAAGAGAGATTTGCATGTTTTTGTAATGTTTAAGCTTTTAGCATTGTTCCAGAATTCTACTTAACAAGGGATATGGACACGGGCGGATGTATGTAGTGTCTGGGGTCCCGACCACCAATCTGATTCGGTCTGTAAGTGTATTTTTTTTTCTATTAGGTATAACCTCTTCGAATACGAGTGTCACTAGTATTTTACATTTGTTCAAATTTTTTTTAATGCCACAACTATTGAAACGGTCTCCGTCCGCCATTGGATATGGATGAATATGGAAGGAAGACGAGGGACGTCGAAAGAAAATCGTGTTCCCGAGTTTAATTGATGGAAAGAAACTGAGGGGAAGAAAAAAAATTTGGAGCCATATTTTCCTTTAAAATTTTCCTCTTAAATTTGGCGGATTCAAGAAAAAAGGGAGATGAAGGAAAATCTTTTAGTTTTATTTTCTTTTCTCTCCTAACTACAAAAAAATTTCCTTTTATTTCTTTCGAACTCGGAAACACAGAATAAGTAAAATTTTTCTTCCCCTCCATTTCTTTCTGCCAATATTTTCCTTCCCTTCCTTTATTGAATTTACAAAAAAAAAACTCAAGACAATGCGTGTGTATATATATATATATATATATATATATATATATATATATATATATATATATATATATTTACGCATTGTCTTGAGTTTTTTTTTTTGTAAATTCAATAAAGGAAGGGAAGGAAAATATTATATATATATATATAATAAGTCAAATGTGAGTAGGCTTTCGGGCATATTATCCAAAAGATACATTCATGGTAAAAGTATTAATGATGAACCACACTATGATAATAATCAAATAAATTCTATCGAAGAAATTATTGATGGCATAGAACAAAGTTTAAATGATTGGACAATACCAAAAACAAATATAAATACAATATATAAAATAAGAACTTTCGATTATTTTCAAAGTTGCTTAATCAAAATGACCGAACAAATTGTGCCTTTTGGTCAAACTCAACAAAATTTAAATCTATTATCACTTAAATCTATTTTAGAACATAGACAAAAATATAACTTTCTTCATATCGGTTTAGTACAAATTGTTATTAAACTTTTATTTAGAATTGGTATTGATGCTCATGTTCTCCTAATTTTAAGAGATAAAAGACATAAAGATTTTCAAAATTCTATTTTAGCTATGGCAGAAACAAATATTGCTAACGGACCAATTTATTTTAACTGTTATCTAAATTTTTCTGTAGGATTATTCGATAAAAATATATTAGATACCTTAGTTTTAACAGTAGAAACAAAAAATTTAGAATTTAAATATAATACCAAACCTTTAGCAATAATCTATCGTGTTTGTTATAAAACCATGACAACCACGTTAGAACCAAGAACCCGTCTATCAAGCCCAAGAAATGAAACAATTATTTTTGAAGCAAATATTAACCATACTAACGTTCATATGCCTAAAAGACTTTATTGAACCAAAACGTTATTGAACCAATCATAATGACTTGTAAGCGTTAGCTGCCATAGTTATTTCTTGAACAATATTCATTATTTGATGTTCAAAGCATCCCTCGATATTCCATTCGTAAACAGAAGTTCCATCATAGGCAGAACGATCATACTGGAATGCTCTTTCTTCAACTTGAACATCAGGAAGAGAATGTCTATTCCAATAATTTCGTAATGTTGGGTTTTGATTTCTTCCAAATGTGTTACGTTCGGATTGATTAATTTTATTTAATTTAGAAAATTCATTAGTAAGTTGATTAATATCTTGATTATTTGTAAATTGTTGAGCGAGAGTCTTAATGTCAATTTCGCTATGACTATTAATATCTTCGTATTCATCAGTTGCTATTCTTGTAAGAGTATTAATATTTTTGATATTTAATTTTGATAGTCTTTTTTCTAATTCGTCTATTAAGTCTTTATTTCCTAAATTAAAATTGCCTTCAATTTGATAAGAAACAAAGCTAACATTTGAATAATTACTAGAACTTGCTTCATCTTTTTTATTAAAACATACTTCATCCTTTTTCTCATTTCGTTTGAATAATTGTAATTCCATATTTTTTAACGTTTTTTTTTTGTTTCTATTTCTAAATTTGTTAAAGTCTTTTGTAAAGGTTTTTCTTTTAAAATCTTTTCTTCTATTCTATCTAATTGTTCTCCAATAGTTGTTAAAACTTCATTTGAGTAATTGTTTTGATAAATAATATTTTGCAAAAATTTTTCAGTTGCTTGTTGATTTGGAACTTTTACTAGAGGAGTTGCTAAAATATCTTTATCAATAATAATCCCCTTTTTTGGTGGATAATTTGAAATAGTTTCTTGATTAGAGTCAATGTCTATGTATTTTTTTTTATTAAAAATAGGAGTAATAGAATCATTTTTGAATGGATAATCAATATTATGTTTAGAAGCATAAAATAACTCAAACCATTGTGAAATGAAGAATAAATTTTGTTTGTTAAAACATAATCTTCCCAAAGTCCTAAATGTAATAATATGAAAATTCTTTGTTATGAGAAACTCTCTTCTTATTATTATATTCTTTATAATATTCAATATTTTTTAAGTAATTGAAATCAACTTGATATTCTTGTTTAGAAAAATTCATATTAACAAGTTATTTTGGTTAGGATTGAAGAAACATAATTTATTGTTTCTAAATTACGATTTCTTGACTGTTTGTATATCTTGATCATTTCAGTTAATCGAGAAATGTTTTCTATTTGTTTGTCATACGTAGGGCTATTGGTTTGTAGTTTTAATAAATAGTGTTTCTCGTGAGATCTTGAATTTTTAAATGTTGGAATATTTTTACATATATTAGAGTTTATCTTCCAATGTCTTTTTATTATGTTATTCCAAAGCCGATTATTTTTAGAACAATTAATCTGTATTTTAGAACTCATTTAACAAATTAATAAACTGTCAGTAAGATGATTAATTGAATAATTGATACCTTTTATGATTTTTTTAAAATGACCAATCCCAATTTTTAGTATTCCTATTTTAACTAATTGAATTGCAGTACGATTTTGACTTTTAGATATTAATTCTTTTATTTCTAATTGCTTTTCTTTTAAGTGTTTTGTTGAAGTGCTTAAGTCTTGCCAAAAAAATTTGAGTAAATTAGTATTATAATTGTTATCGAAATTACAATATATTTGAGTTTTATTACTCATATTTGTTGTTTAAAATTTTGAAGTTCATCTATAATATCAGATTTAGTGGGATTAGGTAAACTAGTTTCACTATTTTGTTCATCTTGATAAAGTGGTTTAGGAATGGAATTAGTATAATCAACAGTCTTTAGTTTTAAAGATCTTGATTTTGAAAATGAATGTTTTGATGTGCCAACTTCTGAAATCGAACTTGTTGAAAATCATGATGATAAAAAGTTTATTGAAGAAAAATTTATATCACCCGATCCGTCATTATGTTCAATAATATTAGAATTTTGTTTTGAAGAATCTAAAGCCTTTGGTTCAATAACGTTTTGTAAATTCCAATTACATGATTGAATAATTTCTGACCATTTAAGTCTTTTAGGCATATGAACGTTAGTATATGGTTAGTATTTGCTTCAAAAATAATTGTTTCATTTCTTGGGCTTGATAGACGGGTTCTTGGTTCTAACGTGGTTGTCATGGTTTTATAACAAACACGATAGATTATTGCTAAAGGCTTGGTATTATCTTTGAATTCTAAATTTTTTGTTTCTACTGTTAAAACTAAGGTATCTAATATATTTTTATCGAATAATCCTACAGAAAAATTTGGATAACAGTTAAAATAAATTGGTCCGTTAGCAATATTTGTTTCTGCCATAGCTAAAATAGAATTTTGAAAATCTTAATGCCTTTTATCTCTTAAAATTAGGAGAACATGAGCATCAATACAAAATTCTAAATAAAGGTTTAATAGCAATTTGTACTAAACCGATATGAAAAAATTTATATTTTTGTCTATGTTCTAAAATAGATTTAAGTGATAATAGATTTAAATTTTGTTGATTTTGACCAAAAGGCACAGTTTGTTCGGTCATTTTGATTAAGTAACTTTGAAAATAATCGAAATTTCTTATTTTATATATTGTATTTATATTTGTTTTTGGTATTGTCCAATCATTTAAACTTTGTTCTATGCCATCAATAGTTTCTTCGATATAATTTATCTAACATCCCATTTTTTTCAAGTAGCTTCATATTCATCCTTCGGATTTGAATTATGTCATTTTTGGCTCTTGGCTTGGAAGGAAGTGGCAAAAGGAGGCCCTAGTGGCAAAATGGAGGTTTTGGGGTTGAAGTAGTACGCTGGCGTACACATGAGTACGTTGGGCGTACGTGTGCCAGGAAGGAACCCTAACTTTTAGGGTTTGTGGAGTATTTAAACACTTTATGGACCATTCCCTCTCATCTCATTCAGCCTCCACACCTCCCTCAGCCGTCTTGAGAGAACCCTAGCCTTCTAGTGATCATTCTTGAGCTTTTAAGAGTGTTCTTGTGCCTTTAAGAAGAAGCTTGTGCATCTAGGAGCCAAGGAAGGAAGAGTTAGCCTGTAGATCTTGGTTCATCATCTGTTTTGGGAACTCTAGAAGGTATAAAGTTGTTATCTTTGTGCCTATTTCTTCTAGATCTATTCTTGGTAGTTTATTTGCACTCTTTTGTCCCATAAAGTCCCATTATAATGCATGGTTCATTTTGGACGATTTGAGTTGTCCTTTCAAGCTTTAGAATGGGTCCTAAGGTATAAAAATGAAGTCCCTTGGGCTAGTTGGGCCCCTAGTTCTTGGTAGGAGGTCTTACTGGATTAAGACCATG